TCCAGTTGGCTGACATCTCACTCCAATTAGCTCTTGAAGATGTCATTAGTCTAGGGGTTCACATACTTTTTCCACCTGCACTGTGAATGTTTACATGGTGTATTTAATAAAAACATGGCAACATTTCATTATTTGTGTGTTATTAGTTTAAGCAGACTGTGATTGTCTATTATTGTGACTTAGATGATGATCAGATCACATTTTATGACCAATTTGTGCAGAAATCCATATCATTCCAAAGGGTTCACATACTTTTTCTTGCAACTTTAACTGACGCCTACCCCAATTCGATAAGGCTAAAGTCGGTTGAGGTGTGCCGAAACCGACGAGAGGTTAGGCCTGTAAAAAGAGGGCAAAAATATAAAACAAGATTAATGATTTTCCCACAATTGGCAATCGTTTAGTTACAATATCGAAAGGAAGTCTAATTTCCATCCTGGGTTAGAAATGTTCCTATTGTAATCCAACGTCCCATAATTCTAATTATGTTTTAACGTAACCTTCCCATTAGAGGCTGCTGTTGTTGTATGGAATGAGTGGCCCGAGTAGGGGGAAGGATTAAGGACTGGATAAAGTAACAAATATAGTTATTAGGGAAAGTAATGGTAGTTAGGGACCTGGCTAATCTGGTCTTTGACTATGAGTATAAAGTTTGAACTGGGCACAATTTAAAATACCCAATTGATATGTTTGGTATGAGGAGTAGATATAATGTAATGTTTGTTGATTCCTGAATTCTTGACACATGAGTGAAGGTTGAATGCTTCCGACAGTAAAGTTCTATCTTTTTGGCCTCAAGAAACCGTAGAAAGCCAAGTAAGCTGCTGACTTAATACTATGTTAGTATGGTTATTAACCCCTTAAGAACCAAACTTCTGGACTAAAAGGGAATCATGACAGGTCATGTGTCCTTAAGGGGTTAAAGGGACGTTTAATTGTTAATTTGAAGAATCCCCCTAAGATTTACTGTCGATAGGGAGTGAATTGGATGATTTGTGGAGTTTTGAACTATGACACCTGTCAGCACACCTTTACTGAATAAGAAACCAATTGGGAGCTGTTGGGGTATATTGTCTACATGTAATGTTAAATTCCTGTAAGTATAGTTTCAATTGTATGGTGGGCTAGTTTCAAAGAGATGTGGCAAACATTTGTGCAAGCAACCATTTACAATTGGAACGCATTTATTATATTGAAATTATAAACAACTCTTACACATATCTAAGCTTTAGAGTAAGTTCCTTAGTATTGGTAGACAAATTTACCTGCGTAATTGATCAGACTAACTTAAGGCATGATTAGATCTATTTGAACTATAGAGGATCTCTTGGCTGAATGTACTTTAAGCTCAACCGTTACCTCTAAGCAAGGCCAGACTTCAGGAGTTTAGCAGTGGCCAGGGCGGGGGATACTGCAAGGGACCTGGGATGACAGGATTAGAGTGTCTATTAAAGATAGAACGTCACCTGGAGCTATTACTTGTAGCATCCTGTAAGGAAGGAAGGAGAGAGAGAGAAAAAAATATATATACACACACAAGTTTTATCCATGCAAAACTTTGATGCCAATTGAAATATCCCTTGTGTAGAGCTGGTTTGTTAACGAGTACTGATATGCGAAGATATTGATTAGCCAGTGAGAGGTGAGGCCCTGCTATTTGCCCAGTGGCTGTGAGAGGCTCTACCTTTGATTTGGTCCATGTGGATTTGTAGCTACTATGCGTTGTAGCGGGGTGTTGACCTCTAGGTTGTGGTAAAAGAGACAATACTTGTGGCCGTGACATGTGAGGCCCTACCTAAGACCCTGCAGAAGAGTAAGTGAGGCACTAATTCTGAGTTGGGCGGAGCCTCCGTGTTGAGGTGAGTAGTTGGCCTCGCGCAATATTTGACTAAGGTCAGTACTTGGCAGGGCTTGTTTCTTGTGGATGAGCGTGAACATAACCGTACATGCGTGATCAAAGTGGATAGTACCATAGAGAAAAGGACTGGAAAAAGCATCTGATGAAACTACCGGTTGTGATGCGAAACTAGAATGAAAATACAGTGACTAACAGTAGGGAAAATATGTGTGCTCTTAAGATAGGAACCTGAAAATGAGCTTTT